CGCCATCTAGTGGATTAAGACAGAAATGTTTACTGCTAATTTGTTATTGTAACAGTGAGCTTAATACATATTAAAAAAATCTTTAATTTTATTATTCAAAATTAGGAATTCATTGAAGAACTCTCTTTTTTTAAGCACACAGATAAAAGCATTGGTTATATATTTGAGGATAAAGCCTGTTTCAATTGTTGTCTGTCTACTTCACAAATGTATTAGCTAAATGTGTTAATAAGGACAAATTTTCTTTTTTAACACTGATTTTTCTACTTCTCACTTGTGCTTAAATAAACAGACTGAAGTGAGATGAACCCAATTTAATTCTTTTCTTCTGGATTAATAATTTAAAGTCAAAAGTACTAAATTGTAATACTTCTCTATGACATTTCAAAATACATAGCATATCACAAATCTTTAAATAGCGCACTGGAGTTGGATTGTGGCTCGAGTATCGTGATATGGTGATAATATAACGTGATTTATTTTGAGGATTGGAGCGATTCCTACACCTTGTGATTGCAGTACCCAATTCTGCTTCGCCACATGGAGCAACTGGCTAATTATTCAGTGAAAACGTTTCTCTCCACTGATCCACCAAAATAATGTTGTGTTACATTATTATTCTTTTTTTGTTAAACTTTTTGTACCAACGCACAAAATCTTTATTTTTATATTGGATACACTGTTTGAATGCTTCAGCAATGACCAGTACAGGAGAGCAAAGCACACATCACATTTGTAGTGTTGTTATGGGCATATTTCATCAACATTAATACAGGTAGTGTAAAATTTAAGTCGTTTTTGTGCTCTGTAGGGAAAACTTTAAGGTGTGTACCTTCTGTATGCTCTCCACCTGCGCCTCCAACTCCGTGGTCTTGTTCTGAGCCTGAGTCAGAGAGTTCTTCAGGTTTTGGATCTCCTGCTGCACCTCCTGCTGCGCTTCCTCCGCCTGCGCAGGCTTAGCGGCGGCTTCTGCAACCATCTGAGTCAGCACACACCACAAAGAGACAGGGGGGAATATAAAAAGAGAGAACAAGATATTAGACACTGTATAGACTTTACAGGCCACCATGAACACCATAAAAAGTACACAGAGCATGACGATATCCTGGCTTAAATCAATCACCAACCATACACCAACAGATAGACATGGACAAGTATGTATAGCAAATGTACAAAATGAACCCAAAATTACACTTCAAAACTGACGGCTTTATATTCCGATGGTCTCCTATAATCGCTACTACACAATAACTGTTTTACATCCTTCTTTGCAGGATAATATTTGTACACAAGGTGCAAGTTTATATAAGTAATACTAAAATCACTGTGAAACAATGATACCCTGCAGAATACATATATCAGATACATATGAATGATTGCAATAGTTTTTTTTTCAATGTTGTCATGGTTTTAAATATTAAAAATTCAATTAAAAATTTAGATTAAAAAATCTTAGCACTATACATTTTTTCTGTCTCTTCTGATTTTTGATGAACTGCATTTTCATGGAAATGGTAAACTGTAAAGAGCCCATTTCCTATATATATATATATATATATATATATATATATATATATATATATATATATATATATATATATATCGGACTAGTCTGTTCTGCTTGAGGTGTTTATATGGACGTGTTCTATTCCTATTGAGCGATTAGTTGGATTATTAACAGATTATCAGGCTGTCTAATGTACCTTGAAGTCTGTCTAATGTACCTTGTCATGCTGCGCCTTTAGCTCCTCATACTGGGTTTTGTAGCGCCGGCCAATCTTCTTGACCTGAGTGATGGTTTTGAGTTTCTCCTGAATGTCCAGATTCTTGGCCTCCAGGTCCTTCTTCAGGCCGTCTCTCTCTGTGGTGAGTTTTCCCACGTTCTCCCTGAGGTTCTGCACCTGACTCTGCACGGAGGACGCTGATGCGTTGGCCCTGCTCAGAGAGGCACATACACACAGTCTGACGAACACAAACGGCTAAAATAATTCTCACAGACTGCTTTGACCTTGCTGTGTACAAGAAGGGGCCCAATTCTGGTCCTGCATGGTCCAGCACAGATTGGTGGTTTGAGCAAGAAAATCACTAAACTGGGCACTTTTTCAAAATTAGGAATGTTTGTGATCACCAAGTCAACACAATGACTAATATAAATATAAACAGATAAACTAAAATCAAACATCTCAATTTTTGTCAGTGTTTTACTTTGTGACTAAAATTAAATGTACTAAATTAATAAAAAAAACTATTATTATTTAAAAATGCCAACATCACTAATAATGCCTGCAAAGCTTAAGAAAGCTACTGATAAGTTAGATTCAGACCATTAATTTGCTCTTCATTCAGTATCAATGATAGTAGCATATTATAATCGAAGCTTCATCCTTTTTAAAAACGGGTAACTATTAAAAAAAAAAGTATTATGAGTAATTCTGGAACATTTCTATTGGTCTATTTGTCATGAAATATTTACAAACAGCAAGTGCAGCTGGCGGCACCAAATGGTGTGGAAAAAAAAATTCGACAAAAACAGAACCGAAATGATTCCTTTGTCTTCCTTTGTAAATGAATGGACCGTTCACCGACCTGGCCACCTCACTCTTCAGTTTGGCCGTCTCCTCGGTCAGCTGCTGGATTCGTTTCAGATGAGACTCTCTCTCCGACTGGAGCTTCTTGCTCTCCTCCTGATCACTGTCCTTCTGCTGGCTCACCAGTTGCTGCAAGGCAGAACAACAGAGAGTGGATGATTACACACACACACTCAGTCCGGACCAGCACTTCTCATCACAGCTGGAACCTTTCAGACTCCTTCAGGAGTAACACAGCTTCTGTCTGTCTAACAGTCTGATCAACTCATCAACTCATCACTGATCAGGTTCCTTCAGGGGGACTAAAAAAAAATTGGAAAGTGCATTAAAATAAGATCCATATAATTTAGTATAATTAGGGCTGGGGAAGAAAAAAAAAGCCCACACTGGATTATTTATGTGAATGAAAAACAAAGACAATGAAAACATACAGTAAACATGAACTCAACATAGCATGTAATACACAATGCATGTAAAGTGGCCCAAACAGGACCTTTTTTTTTAATAATGTATGTGACAGACTGTTTTTTGTGACCGTGTCAACAACAAAAAGCACAATGAATCTGACATTTTCCCTTCTGATTTGGACCACACTGGCCCACTATACAACGCAATGTGACCACAGTCAGAATGAGCAGAATGAAATTACTGCAACTTTTACATCAATCCAACACAATCTTCACCATAATTTTGCTCACAGGCAAAAGCAACGTTATCAAAACGTCTGTTTATGTGGTTACAGTTCCCGATCATAACATTTCAGCTGACAATTAATTATCATATCGTCGCTGTCCAATGAAAAACAAGTAGCTCCAAAAATCAGCAAAAAAGGAGATACATGGTTTTCATTGGACAGCGACGATATAAGTAACTGCGATTAAAGATTTAATTCTTTTCTTGTTCACTGCATTTTAATAGGTTTAAACAAGCCTGGAGTTGTCATATTAGCTGAATAGCCACCTCACTTGCTACGTTTATCTGGTGGCGAACCCTGGTTGTGCTGTCAAATCAATACTGCATGAACACAATAAAAAGATTTAAACACCACGAAGCTCATCATGTATCGTGAAAATGTTTTGAAGCATCATGATTGCAGTTTTGCACTGTAATATTTCACAATACACTGTTACACTTCTACCGGTCAGAGAGGACAGCGCTGCTGACCTGAGTGCGGTTCCTCCAGCGTTTGACGTCGTCCTCCAAAAGCCTCTTCTCAGCCTGCAGCATCCCGTTCTTCTCACTCAGCTCCGCATTGCTCTCCTGCAGAGGCCGCATGTCAGTCTCCA